TTTTCTCCAGTCCTTGGGCACCTCTCCTGTCCTCCAAGACCTTTCAAAGATGATGGAGAGTGGCTCAGCAATGACATCTGCCAGCTCCCTCAGCACGCGTGGGTGCATTCCATCGGGGCCCATGGATTTGTGGGCATCCAGATTGCTGAAGTGATGTCTCTCACAGTCCTCCTCGACCAAGGGAAGGTCATCCTTTCTGCAGTCTTCCTCTCTTATCTCCAGGGCCTGGGATTCCTGAGGGCCGGCCTTAGCACTGAAGACTGAAGCAAAGAAGGCATTCAGTAACTCTACCTTCTCTGCATCCTCTGTCACCTGGACACCCACCTCGTTCAGCAGCAGCCCCACACTATCCCTAGTCTTCCGTTTGCTGTTGATGTACTTGAAGAAGCCCTTCTTGTTGTCTTTGAAATCCCTTGCCAGATTCAGTTCCAGGTGGACCATAGCGTTCCTCATTGCATCCCTGAATGCTTTGACAACCTTCCTGTACTCTTCCCAAGTGGCCTGTTCCTCTTTCCACATTCCACCTGAGCTCCACTAGAAGCTCCTTGCTCATTCATATGGGTCTCCTACCTCTTTTTCTAGATTTCTTTCTCAGGGGGATGCACCGATCCTAAGCATGGAGGAAGTGATGCTTAAACAGTGACCAGCACTCTTGGACCCCCCTGCCTTCTAGAGCCCTGACCCACGGGATTCCTCCAGGTAGCTCCTTGAAGAGGCCAAAGTTAGCTCTCTTGAAGTCCAAGGTTTTATCCTACTTATCGCCCTGCTTCCTCCATGCAGGATCCTGAAGTTCACCATTAATCAATGATTCTTCTTTCCTTTACATAACCTTAAAATGACGGAGAACTTCAAAAGCAAAACAGGTCAGAAAAGCAGCACAGAAAAACTTGGGAGATGTGGTGTTTTTATTCTGCATGGGAAAAGCAGATTGTGGTTTCAGGGAAGTTTTTGCCACGACAGTATCATGTAGCCTATAGCCTTCCTATATGTTCCTAGATATTAGGAAGAGATATTGGAGTTCTATAGATTTTTAGTTGAAATTTCTCCTATCATTGTGAGGAGAGGAGAGGAGAGGAGAG